GACAGAATATGAGTTGGCAGACGAAGTGGAAGATGAGGTCGAGAGCTCGAGCATGAGTCGGACCCTGAGGAAAATCCTAAATCAGAGCATGAGGATAATTTTACATTGGAGTTAGAGGACAATCTCGAGCCACAACCTGAGGCACAAGTTAAAATAGAGATAGAGTTCGACCTCGAGACAGAAGATGAGGCTCCATAAAAAAAGATTCGTAAGATCCATAGAGATTAGAAATTTACATTCTATTTTACTTGCTCTATGATGTTTTACTTTCCTACTCGTTTAGAAAGAAAAAGTTTTATGTTATTTGAGATTTACTTATTCAATCAATGGTATATCCTAGTTTCAAGGATTCACATTCATGAGATTTCAATTTTTTCCTTTGAATATAATGAGCTGTGTTGTCCAAGGTGTCTAAAACAAAATTTTAAATTTTGTTGATTTAAAGGAAATTGCACAACAACAAAGCTAAGCAACTATGTTCAGGGATATTATGAAGGCAATGTATAACGTTAGTAATCGACATGCACCGACTAGCGCCAACAACACGGGTGTAATTGTAGAGCAGTTTCTCCATTTTATGCCTCATTCTTTTGACGAAAAAGGTGACCCTTTGGCAGCTGAGGCGTGGGTAAGAGGATTGGAGCAGATCTTCAAACACATTGAATATACCGATACCCAAAAGTTATTGCGTGCCAAATTTATGCTAATTGATGTAGCAGGTCACTGGTAGGAGTCTGCTTCATGCACTAAAACAGAAGCAGAACAATGCGCTATGACTTGGGTATAGCTCAAGGAGGAAGTAATGAACAAGTGCTCTTCCCAGTCTCTAAGAGATCGAAGAGAGGCAGAGTTTTTGCAACTAAAACAGGGAAAAACGCTACTTGAAGATTATGAGAGGAATTTCAAACAACTTTCTAGGTATGCCCCATACCTCATGGACACTAAAGCAAAGAAGGTCAGGAGATTTGAACTAGGATTATGTACAGAGATTGGAGAAATCATAGCATCTCATCATACCACAAACTACAGTGAAGCCTCCATTTCTAGCAGGGAAATATAATAACATGTTTAGAATTTAGACTATTTAAAGTTAATTAAACCTATTTTTGATTTAGATCTATTATCAAATATAATTTTTGATACTATCATTATTTTCAAAATTTATTTTTCAAACATGTAATATTAAGCTATGAAAAATTGCATCATTAGTTCCCACCTCGCGGACTTTGTCACAATTTTGCCTACAATTCATTCATTGGTAGCATGGTTCCCAATCTATTGGTTTTGTAGCACCATTAGTTCTTACTTTGTTGGATTGTTTGCTTAGTATTTTTACTATAATAAATTAAAAAAAAAAAGATTACTTGTAATAATATAAGTTGAGCACTTATTTGAAGAAGCAAAATGTGGCACGACTATATTTGGACCATAAATAAATTGCTTCCTATCGATGAATAAAAATTGACATATTGTATTGGAAGATTGTAGTTTGACTATTTCATTAGTCGGGTTTTGCGATTTGTTCTTCTTGCAAAAATAATTTAATAATGATGCTAGCACACGAGGATGGTATTGGATGACCACTTGTTTAGTTCTATATCATGACCTTGCGGAGTTTTAAATTTCACTTGATCATAGATATTTCATCCGCATTCCTGGACGGGATGGTATTTAAAAGTTTTTTGAAACAACAATGGGTGAGATCAATTTGATTGATGAAATATCTCGAAGAATTGATAACTTGAGAAAGAGCAAAGTGGAGAACGTGATCATTCTCAAAAATGGGTCGAATGAACGTTTATGTATTTTTTGTTGAATAATTATAAATTTGAGTTTAGTGTTTAGTGATGGTTAAACTTCGATTTATGTGATTAGGTCGGAGGAGTGTTGAAGAAAAAAGCCTTAAGTTAATGAAAATAATTAAAGAAGCAAAATAGCCATTTATGCTCGTACCTTATTATAAAATCTCAGATAAGAATAAAATACACATATACGATAGGTGAAAGTAAACTATTGCAGATATTTTAACTTACGTGATTTTGTATATTTCGAGAGTATAATTCCTTGCCTTTAGTGAAAAAATAAAGATGAATAATTAGAATAGATGGTCTAGAATCAGCTGGACATGATATAATTATTAGAACTTGTAAAATATATGTTAGAACAAGTCCATACGGTAGCTCTATAAAGTTTTTGAACTCAATCGCCATACACAAGGAATTGTATCCTAATTTACTTTTTTTTTTTTTTACTGGATCTTGTTTTGGTGGATTATACAATTTTTTACTTTTAGTTTGATAAAAACTCTTGCAAGTTTATACCGGGATCATTGTTTATACTTGGTGGTAGGGCCATAATATGGAGAAGTATGAAGTGACATGCATTGTTGATTCTACTATGAATGTCAAGTATATTGTATCTTATGAAGCTACTAAAGAGACAGTGTGGCTCAAGAAACATTGAGATGGTACCTGCATTTGCCAAATCCTTAACATGTACTATTATAACAGTGTGCCAGGTGACAAATGCTAAAAAATAAAGAGTCATCAAAGGGGCAGCACACAATGAAAATATCATCTCTTGATAGAAATTATCGACAGAGGGGATGTGATTGTCAATAAAATTGCTATTGGAAATAACTTCGCGGACCTGTTAACTAAAATCCTGTAGGCTAAGGTTTTCGAGGAAAATCTACAAGGTATAGTGTTGCATTACATGACATGTATACTCTAGAAAAAATAAGAGCTTTGGCCCTTGTATTATAGCTTTGTCGTAATAATGACAATTTTATAATAAATTAATTACATATACATTTTTTTATTTATTTAGTATTATTGTATTTATTTAATATTGAGTAAGCGAATAAAGATTTTAATTATCACTTTTGATATTATAAGTTGTACGCTTGCATGAAGAAGTTAAAGTGATACATCTTATATCGCAATTTGTCTTTATCACAAAAATATTTTAACTATGACACTAGCACATTGAAGTGTATTGAACATATCACGTGTTGAATTTAATTATATAGCATGATCATGAGAAGAATTAATTCCACTTGATAATCGAGTATTTCATTTGAATCATTGGCAGGGTTGCTTATATCTTTCCTTGAGTTTTATAATTATTTGATTCCCTAATAGATGAGATCAATTTGATTGATCGAATATTTCGGTGAGTTGAATATTTGAGAACGAGTCAAGTAAAGAGCATGAATTCATGTCGGACCCGTCATTCCAAAAAATGGTCAAGTGAGATTTCTTAAGTATTCCCTATTGAAGTTTATAAATTTGAGTTCAATATTTAGCAACGGTTAAATTTCAGTATTTTGTGATCGGTTTCCATGATCGTTGAAGAAAATTATATTTAAGTTAGTGAGAATAATTAAAGGGATAGATCAGAGAATGAAATTCATACAAGTTAGGTGTTCATTCTCACAAGGTAGGTCAGATGAAAATATTACAAATATTTTAACATAAGTGATTTTACATATTTTTGTCTTTAGTGCGAAAAATGGAAATTAATAATTAAATTGGACACTTTATGCCCCTGTTTGATCCCCATTACTTAAAAAGGAAAATGGGGGGAATAATATTTTTTAGAAAAATGAATGGTTGAAAAAGAAGAAAAAGTTTTCGATTTACGTGTAATATTATTTTATGAAAAATTGTGTAATTGAAAATAGGAGAGAGAAAAATAAAATGTAATGTAATTTAATTTAATAGGGATCAAACAGGGCTATAAATGACTAGAAATGGTCTAATTACTCTAGCTTGAAAGTATACGTTTGAACAGGTCCTACGGCAACTCTATACAACTTTGGACTCAATTACAATTATTTTGAAAGTTTTGAATTTAATTACAATTGTGTATAAGTTCAGGGAGCTACATGTGCAATTACACCAATTACATGGACTCAAAATTTTTTCCCTATAAATACATCCCCTCACGGGGCCGAAAATTGATTTGAAAAAAAAAGTACAAAAAAGGAAAAAAATTATTTTCTTGTTTTTTTTTTTCTGATTTTTTTGGTCCATCTAATCTATTTTTTTTAAAAAAATTTAAATTAAAAAGTGTCCACACACTGATTTAATCTAAACTTTAGATATTAATATAGGAAACTTGACAATTAGAAGCCAAGTTCTCAAATTATAAGTTGGAAGTTCGTTATTCTTATCCAGTCAAGAATTTAATTATCGAATTTGAGTAAATTCTTAAATTATATTTCTTAATTAAAAAGATCTTGGTTTCTTGAATTCTTATTATTTTTTTTAATTTTTGAAATATTAATTTTTTTTTATTTTTATTTTTTTGTTGCTTTCCAACAACTTCTTAGAAAAAAATTCTGTCATTAAAATGTCTTTTATTATAACATTTATCTTTCTTTTTATTAAGGACTAAAAGAATACTTATAAGTAAAGATTAATGACCATGCCATCAAGAATCATTCTTTGGGATCTTGAATGTGACAGAGTCAATAGGTTGGGGATAAACAATAAAAGCCTGTTTGGTAAGAATTAAAATTAAAAATTCAATTTAAGTCAAAATCAACAATTATTTAAACCACATATTTTACGAGATCCATAACTTTTGGACTATACATGTTATCAACTTTTATTAAATTTATTAAAAATCTGATTTTAAACTTAACCAGACAGCGATACAAATATGCCACCCTAAGAGGGTGTTTGAGAGCTATTTTTATGTAAAAATGTATTTTGGAATAGTAAATTGATAGGAAATGTGTGGTTAAAAAATAAGAAATTTTTTTGATTTAAGTGAAATATTATTTTAATGAAGAATGTGTGATTGAAAAGTAGAGAGAGAAAAACGCATTTTGAAAAAAATGGGTACCAAACGGGGCCTAAGAATTCAAAAATAAATAAATAAATAAATAAGGAAAATCCAGAAATCACGTGATATCCCACCCCCAACAGGCACACCACATACCCAATAAAATGTGAGAAACTGGACACGTCACTGGAGATTCCAGTTTCTTAAAATTTAAAGTTATCCTCTACGGCAACAGGCCAATCTCCATTTCCCTTTCCAGAATCCAGAATCATCTTCTGTCTAAAAAATTAGAAATCTCCACACTCATTTTTCGTTCTGCGTTCTCTTTCCTAATCGAATGGCGATCGGTGGCGATGGCAATATACCCAAGAAGAAGCAGCGCGTGGGAAGCAACAGTCAGCTCTCCTCCACACGCGCCGTTATCAATTCTTCCTTCCCCGATGAAACATTAACTGAAGGCTCCAACAAATCCCCCGCCCTCCGTCGCTCTTCCTCCTCCGTCCTTGGCGGTTCTGGTGGCTGTGGCGGATTCAATGACTCCGATACTGCGGATGTTATACTCCGCCTCCATCTTGATCACCATCGCTCCCCCTTCGACTCGTTTGTGACCTCTTCCGATTCCGTCTCCTTTGACGAGTCTGATGTGCAGATCTATCTCCACTCGCACATCCTCCGCCGGGCTAAGTACTTTTCCGCTCTCCTCTCCGACCGATGGCAACGACACAACGACGATGATTCTCCTCAAATCCACCGCCTTAACCTTGGTGTCCCGCCGACGCCGGATTCAATCAACGACTACTTGGAAGTTCTTCGGCTTCTGTATACTGATGATTTCTCGGCTTCGATTACTAGTGTTGTGACTGCCCTTGCTTTACTCCCAATCGCTCTCGAATTACTCTTCGAGGATTGCATCAAAGCCTGCGTTAAATTCCTCGAGGCCGTGCCGTGGTCAGATGATGAAGAGAAGAAAATATTGAATTTGATTCCATTTTTAAGTCATGAAGAATCGAAAGAGCTCCTGACTAGGGTTTCCCCACTGAAACATGACTCGTCTGAGGAAATGCTTCATGGCTTAATCCTTTCTGCTATTCATAATCATCCAAACATGGCTTTCGCGAAGGCCTTTGTTGCAAAATTGTTGAGGGATTTTTCGTCCAAAGAGTCTGTAAGGAGGGTTTTGGATAAGGTATTTGAAAAAAGCTTGAAGGTTGTGAAGGAATCTTTGGAGGAGTACTCGAGTCCTAATTTTAGAGGGGATCATAATGAGACTGAGGCGATTCAGAGGCTGAATTTGCATTCTGCTATGACTAACGGGAAGCATTTGCTGTGGCTGGTGGAGAGGATGATTGAGTTGAGAGTAGCTGATATGGCTGTCAAGTCGTGGAGTGAGCAGGCTTCATTTACCGCTGATTTGCAGAGGGCGTTTCGTGATGATGCATGGAGGAATATTGCTCCGAGCCTTCCTGCTGTTGTGCTTCGTTGCACTAGCAGGCTTGCCAATGCTGTTGCAACAGGGAACATTTTGGCTGCTAGACAGGTTTGTTCTTAACATTGTGCACTAGTTTATCGGTATTTTGTCTATGAAGGCAGAGTTCTTGTTGATGAAATGAGGTTTGTTCTTTATTTATAAGTGTTTGAATCTTGCTTGGAGAATTTTTTCGTGTAATACGCTTTCATGTTGCAGGGCGAATTATCATTGAGCTTTTTAACTCATAGGTGCTTTGCTCTTAAAATATTTGATTTCTACTTCAAGAAAATTCACCAAAGTTGCTCAAAAAAATGCAAGTTAACTTTGTACTTGCTATAATAGTTGTTAACTCACAGTTTGGTTGTCGGGATTTAGTAAGGAAGCAGTTTTGCTGTAACCTTGATAGTCTAAGAGAAAATCCAGCTTTTTTGTTGTATTTGACGTACTGAGAATTGTATGCAAGGTTTAAAGATTAAAGATATGTCAGTGATAGTGCCTAAGAAGAAAGTAGATATTGAGTATTGGATTATTGTTTGCATCATGCGTTAAAATTTAATGGACAGGAAGAACTAGATATTTTATGGATACTATTTTTAATGAAAAATGTATTAAGAAGAGATAGAAACACTTGCTTCGTAGTGTTCTAGTATTGGAATTGTTGTCATAAAAATAACATTGTTTTATCTCATGAAATAATGGTTTTCCTGTCATTTATAATATATCATATAACACCTTGGTGTGAAAGTTTATGTTTGTGGATGACATTTGCCCCTTTTCTTTTGGAAAATGTGGGAAACTCTGAAAAATTATCCGAATTGTTTGTTTGTTTGTAATTATTGTCTACCATCTAAATGGAAGTGCTTGTTGTTGTTGTCATATGCGATTTAGTGCCCTTTGCATTGATTCTTCCTTCCACTTCACTTTGTTATGGTCCTACTTGTATAATCAATAATGTATGTCCCATCTCTAGATTCTGGTTTAATTTGATGGTGTCACTGAAGTAAGATTCGTGATAGGTTTTGTTTCTATTTTTAGTATGATCGCCATCAATTTTGGGATTTAAATAATTATTTAAGGAAACCTAGTTATCACCGGAGAAATGGATGCTCTGATACTTTATCTTTGGCACGTTTATCTTTGTCACAACCACATGAACTTTGACATGCCTAGGAAAATAGATGAACCTTAAGTAATCTCTCCCACTCCTGCATAAAATTCATTATTGTTGATCAGATTTATTGAAGTACAAGGGACTTGGGAGAGGTAATTGGTAGCAGATACACTGCAGTTAACATTCTTGATTCAGCCTTGTCTTATGATTAAGCTACTTATGATGTAAAAATTGCTGTCTAGGAAAAGGAAAGTATTTTGTGAACGTTTGAAACTGAATTTCTTTGCCAGGGTTTACATTTCCTTATTCTTGTAGTACGATAGTGTTTAATTTAAAATCAAAAGTACATGAATTAGCAGGAAATCAATGGAATATGAAACTTTAGGGTCATCAATATGCTTGTGCCTTGAGAAATTTCTTTCCTTCTGAGATGATATAAATTTTTGTTCCTCATCTGTAGTTTTTCATGAGACTTGGCCATAAATCGTCATCAACTTTGCTTAACTTCTTTTATTGTGCACAACAGGTCAGGATGAAGCTGGTAAAAGACTGGCTCCCGGTTTTGATTGTATGCAAGGACAATATGTCACCTATGTGCACGAATCATAAATCACTTTATCTGGAGTTGGAAGAAACATTCTTGAGAATTATATCTACGCTCCCGGTTGAAGATGCAAAAGAGTTGTTGCAGCAATGCCTCAGCTTTTCAACTCGAAATGTTGAAGATTGCCCACATTTGGTCACTGCTTTTACCACTTGGTTCCGTCGTTCTAATAGATCCCCACCAGCAGACGACTTTCGTCAATAAATCCTTGGTAGCTCTTATGGGTCACTAAGACCCATGACCCCAGAGCCTACTATTGAACTCTGTATCTAAACTGAGTTTGTACATGTACTTGAAAAATTCTGTGAATTCCCACAATAACTGATTACTGACTGTTGTTTTAAGTTTCAAATGCTGTCCTGTCGAGAGGGTTCCTGAAGCCTTGGTGGATATAGTTTATGTTTATGCTGTATAAAACTTGCAGGTTATGTTGATAAATTTTTGTGTTCAAACACATCTTCCATTTTGGTAAAGGATTATGGATCAAATAGGTGGTTAAGAAACTAACAATTTTTTCTTCTTTTGTAAAGCAGACTGGTCGGTTTAGAGAGAGAGAGAGAGGAATAGTTCCATAGTTATTGTAATTTGTAATGCGGCTTGAAATTGTCACTTCATACGTGGAGACAGTTTCAGAGGAGAAAATAGAAAATTTCTTGTACTTTTTTGGGTACTGAAACTAAATGCCCCATGTCACCAGTCAAGTGATACCAAAAAACTTTCCATGTTAGAGGCATCATTTAAAAATATCTCTATTTTTATTTCGAGTATCATATTCATCTTCTAATCACTTTGTAAGTGGTATCTCATCTAAATGAAGTTTATATATTTAAATTGATTTTGTGAAGAAAAAGATGAATGTTTTTTTGTCATCGTAAACAACTTCGTTAAAAAAATATTATAAAATAGCAAAATTATCTAAACAATAACTAAGTCATATGTAGTCACAAACTACGAAAATAACTTATTTATTACTTATTGATGGTATGGATTTATATTAGTGGTGGATTCGAGGTTGAGGTGATGATGGTTGTTGTGGATTTGAGGTGAAGGTGGATTTGAGATAGTGTCGATGATTTGGGTGATGCCGACGGTGATGGAGTAGAATGGGGGTGTGGGTGACGGGGGATGAGATGAAAGTGATTGTGATTAGTTAATTTATGAATTTGTGCTCAATAAATAATTCGTGAACTATAAAACGCATAATTTGCTACTAAATTTGTAATTATAACCTACAAATTGTATCTTTCTAACTGTTACATTCTATGGTTTATGACTAGTGTGTGATTGTTGCCATAATGAACTATGTAATTGAATTATAGATTACAAAAAATTATTAGACTTGAGTTCCCGAGGTTGAGGCGGATCCGTTCTGACAGCGACCGCAAAACAGCGCAGGCAATGCGCTTTAGCAGGACGAAACTATTTGCAGCAGGGGATGTAGCAAATTTAGACAGAGGACACATGCACTCAACCAGCCTGTTTTGGCAGAATGCAGGTAAGTCACAAAATGTGACTATTTTTCCTTTATTTTGGAAACTAAGAGCATTGTAAGAAGAAGAAACTTGAGAGAGAGAGAGAGAGAGAGAGAGAGAGAGAAACAATTATATTTAGTTCATGTTAGACAATCATTATTTCAAAACTCTTTAATTTTCATACTCCTTTTTAAGAATTAATCTTCTTAGATAGGTACCAGTCCAAACAGGGGGCAATGTGGCACTACCTATAGGTTGAGTGTCTGAGCATGCACTTGGCCAATAGGAGACGCCACATCACCCCCTATTTGGATAGGGCCATGTCCATATAACAAGGTCCCATTTTTAATTACATATCTATATAATAAAATATTTTGTTTATAAATTTTAAATTTTTTCCTACTTTCTAAAAGCATTTCCAAGAGATTCTTTAAACATGAGACGCTTTCTATTTTAAAGAGTTATCTCTTACAATCATATTCCAAAAGACCCTTTTAATTAACATTTTAATTTAGAGAGTAAGGATGACAAAAAAATCCGTCAAATCCAATACTCGCATGGCCTCACCCTGAATGGGTTGGGGATTACCTGCTTAATCGGGAATTTGAGTTGGGGCCGTGGCAGGTATGTGTAACAAGGGCCTCGACCCATCCCGTTTAACATTTTTTTAAGAATTCAATATTTTAAATGGAAAACTCTATGAATTTTTATTAGTTCTAATAGAAGATAACAATTAAGGTTATCTAAGGAATATGATAAATAATTAAAGCTTTAGTTTACCAAACATATTTGAATAATTTAATTTTTAAAAATAAATAAATTAATTAAAATTTTTAATAAATATATTATTGTTTCACTTTAACGAATGAAGGCAATAAAATGAAGTATCAAAAACTAAAAAAGTTTAAACGATAGCTAAGCGGGGCTAGGGCTCCCTCGCTCTACCTTAAACACGTAATAGTACGAGTATGGGACAGGAAATTACTTAGAGGGGTGGCGCGGGGGAGGTTGCCCCGACCCGCCATGTTGCCATCTCTATTAGAGAGTGGGTTTGTCTTTTCAAATTTGGTGAGCCAAATTCACTCTCTATAATTTAATGCATTCAAAATATTTCAATTTTTAATGTAGGAAATTATTATAATAAGATTAATTAGTACCAAACGTTTTTACCTTATAATATTATTGTGCAAAACGTCCGAACATTTCATTTTATGGCATTTTAGCCCCCTACTTTCACCTTTCATTGTGAGAACAATCATTTTCATCCAATTCCTCAATAAGAAATTTATAATGACAAATGTACGCTCCTATTTAAATAAAACAAGAAAAGAAAAGAAAAAATTAAAGAAAAAATTGCAATCACGCTCCCAAACTTTTCAAAACGTGCAAATGAGTTCAAATAAATTATTGAAAATGTAATTAACAAAAGACGTCCCACGTTTCAATACTATTGTGCAAAATGTCCATATCTTTTCATTTTTTGACATTTTCACCCTTATTTTCACTTTCATCGTGAAAATCATCATTTTCATCCATTTTTTTCAATTGAAAACTATAAAATGATGAATATAATCCTCTTTAAATAAAACAAAAATAAAGAAAAGAAGAATAAAGAACAAATTGCAACTGTACTCTCAAATTTTTCAAAAAAGTACAAATAAATAATTAAAAATGAGTGATTTTTTATTTTGATTTTTAAATGATTTTTTTGAAATTTTTTTGTACTTTTTTTTGAAGTATAGTTGCGATTTGTTCTTTATTTTTCTTTTCTATATTTTTGTTTCATTTAAATAGTAGGGTATTTTTGTCATTTTATAGCTCTTAATTGAGAAAATAGATGAAAAAGATGATTTTTCTCAATGAAAGGTGAAAATAATGATGAAAATGTCAAAAAATGAAAAGTATGGATGTTTTGCATAATAATATTGAAAGGTATGGACTTTTTTTTTTTTTTTTTTACTAATTTGCATAATAATTTGGACTCATTTGCACTTTCTAAAAAATTTGGGAGTGTGCTTGCAATTTGTTCTTTAAGTTTTTTTTGTTTTTTGTTTTTTTTTAAATAGGAGGGTTTGTTTGTCATTTTACCTTTTTTATTGCAAAATTGGAAGAAAATGATGATTTCCACAATGAAATGTAAAATTAAGGACGAAAATAACAAAGAATGAAAGGTATGGACATTTTACACAATAACACTGAAAAGTAAGGCATTCTTTTGGCTAATTCCCCTTATAATAACCTAGAGAAAAGTTAGCTAAAAGAAAAAATAGAGTAAAATAATAAATATTTTTTAGGAGTTGTAAAATTAAGTTAAATATAAAAAGTTTATTGAAGTACTTCAAAATTTTAACTCTCTAAATTTATATATGATTTCTAAATGATAGAATATGCTATTTAAAAATAAAAAGTTTTTCAGAGATATTCTAACTACAAATTATCTGAAAAATCACTATTCAAAATTTCATTCTCAAAATAATGACCATGAAATCGGGGTTTAATAACTAAATAATGTAAGAAAGAGAAACTAGGAGGTGAGAGATATAATTATTTTTAATAACTAAATGATTTATATTATAATATAATATTGTTGATGGAGATATTCTAAATTTGATTATTATTTTCTAAATTTCAATCACATTAATATTTTAAAAATATATAATAATTAATATAATTTAGAGGAAATTATCTAAATAGTTAACTTTTGCATTTGTATTTACAAAAATGTCACTTTTTTTTTGACATTGCAAGAATGTCAATTTTAGACAATTTTAGACATATTTGGCCTTAAAGCTAAATTTAAATACCCAATATATTCTAATTAAATTTTGATTTGACCAATCAAACAAATTGTACAAAATTATGCAAGATTGTTAGAGGAAATTGAATTATTCAAGAAAAATATGCAGAGCAAAAACGAAAATGTAAGCTCCAATCCCCCCATTCGAAGAAGAAAATTCCTGTGGAGGAAAGGAGGAGAAAACTAAGCCCTTGTTTGAGCCCCATTTTTTTTGAAAAATAACATTCTTAAACAGTATTTTGACATCATTTCAACCACATATTCTTCAATAAAATAATATTATACGAAAATCTAAATCTTTCTTTATTTTTTAACCACACATTTCACATCATTATACTATTCAAAAATGCATTTTTTTGACAAAAATGGGACTCAAACAAGGGCTAAATCCCTAAAATTCAGTTCTCTCTCTCGCGAAATAGACGACCACCGACGAACCCAATATGCCCTGAACGAAAGGAAGAGAAAACGAAATTCCTAAATCTCTAAAACTCACTCCTCTCTATGACGAAAGCGACCACCGACGGCGACCCAAAATGCCGTGAAGGAAAGGAAGAGAAAATGAAATCCCTAAATCCCTAAAAGTCGCTCCTCTTTGTGACGAAATCCACCACTGCTGGCGAACTCCTCTCTCTCACCAAAAACGAAATCCCAAAAACTGTAAAACACATTCCTCAAACGACGTCAGAAATTGAAAGTGTGATCTTCTCACTGCTCTGTTCTCTAGGTGTCGGCCGCCGACTGTCCAGCACTACCCCTACGTAAGTTAATCTGATTTCTGTGGATTTATTGGGTTTTCATTTTGGTGTGTATTTGTGTGTGTTTTTAGATGTGTTTGTTTATGGGTGTATGGTTTTTTGTGGATTAGAGGTGGAGATGAAAATTGAAATTAATTGCTGGCGACGTCCACCGTCATTTACTCAACCACCAAGCAAGATTTTTGTCTGTTGCAGTAATATGTTCAGGTTAGTGATTTGTTTGTCTTTTGCATTTTGTTATTTGGAAAAAAGAGGAAGTTCTTCTACATTATTGAGTTAGGAACGTAAATTGATGTTTTCGGAAGAAACATGGCTCTTGAGACTGATTTTTTACCTATATTTATTGTCGTAGAAGGTGATTATAACAGTGATGATAATGTGGCTACTGCTGAGAAATATGGTATACATGAGTTGAGCAAATATTCGAATTGTAAACTTGCAACGAATATATGTGTTGTACGGCATCACAAGCGCTACTACACTAGTCTCACCATTTGATTTGGTAAGTGAACTCTGTTCATCAATGAAGCTTCAATCTTGCATGGTTCTATTAATCAAGTTTAGAATTAGTATAGAACACATAAAAAACAACTCTTTAGATTCTATATTACTTCAAATTTAATAAAAGCTACTGAATTAGATAATAGACTTTATTTCTCGTGTGAACAATACTCTTAACTCACAAATCTTATTACTTGTACAAGGGTTGCGTACGCATGCTAGTTTTTTGCAAATAATGGCGATTGCTAGAAATGAAGGACATAAAGGTATTAAAAAAAAAAAAAAAGAAGAAGAAGAAGAGGATTTTGCCATTTTTACACTATTTTCTTTACACCAAATTTGACGTTGCCTTTATTTTCAAAAAAAATTATGGATGGGAAAACATTTTTTTTTTTCTTTTTCAAATTGACGAGTGAAAATTTGCCACATTGCAAATTCTCAAATTTGGCATGATTGTAGAAATAAAAAAAAAAAAAAAAAAAAAAAAAAAGGCAACAAATGCAAACGAATTGACTAAGCATTAACTGACTAGAATTTTTCTTGATTATTATTTGGAGAAATGTTATTCGGTACCATTGGTGTTAAAACATCAATCTACATAACAATTGTATAACATTAAGCGATGATTCACTTAAATGTAATGTCACATAATTTATTTAGCCCCTGTTTGATTTTCATTGTTGGGATAAAATGCATTATGAAATAGTGACTTTTTGGAAAATGTGCGGTTAAAAAGTAAGAATTTTTTAAAAATACGCATATAATTATTTTATAAAAGAATGTATAATTAAAAATAATTTTTTAAAAAATGAGGCTCAAACAAGGACTTAATTAAACGTATCAATTATGCCCATCTAAATGGGTATTCAAGGTAGTAGGTGGCATTATTCTATCTTGATAGTATTTTCTTTCAACCAACAAATAACATTTCTCCACGTTAATTGACAGCAACATGTGTGATCTTACACTTACCTTATGATCCCCTCCTAAGGTTTACTCCCCCGTCTATAACATAACGACCCACTCCCCGGGGTTTAAACCACTCATATGCCCCCACGCACTAGCGTGGGTTCTCTATAAATATGTCTTGCTTTTCTGTCTTACAAAAGAGATAACAATGGGTATCCAAAATATATATCTAGGTCATTTTTTCACGGGTTTGCTTGAGAAGCTGAGCTCCGGTGAGGTGCTGGAATTCCTGCGTCGTCTAGGAATCGAAGCCCTGCTAGAAGAATTGCGTACAACATTGTTGAGGATCAATGCCGTGCTTACCGATGCCGAAAACAAGCAAAGAGACAGAACTGTGCGCAAGTGGCTGAGGGATCTGGAATCATCGGCTTACAATCTTGATGAGTTAGTGGATCAGGTGATTAAAAACCCTTCGCTAAGGAAAAATGAAGGCAGCACAATTAAGCTGTTACGGAAGCTGTTGACCCCAAAAAGTGCGCCAACAGATGCCGGTCCCACCCGCGCTTGCGTGGGCGAATGTCCAACACGCTAAGACACGTGGACGGTCTAAACGAGCGGTTCAAAGGGGCGTGGGAGTAGCCCAACGACGCGGGACGGTAACGTTCGGGATCCGGCGGGTTGTTCGTAATCCGATTGTACAATAATTACCAACCGGTGCTCTTGAATATATGTGTAAAAGTGTATAAAATGTAGTGCAAGTAAATGGAGAGAGTTGAGTAAAATGTAGTTTTTTGTATTGATTCTTGCATTAGCCTTTGACAGTATACAATGGGGGTATTTATAGTGATACATATGAAATGGGAGCCCTTGGATGAAGTGGCACGTGGCCTCATCTCCTTGGTTTAAACGTCTGTTCTTAGGCATGGGATTTGACTTGCTAGCTTACGGCGCATTTATTGCTTGTGCAGGGCCTCCATGCTAGTGACAAGACTTGACCTTTATGCTTATGACAGACATTCCATCAATCATTCGAATAAGATCCGTGCAGGCGATCTCTTGGGAGAAGTGACCATGGAGGATGTTTCCTTGTGGTTGAGGCTCGCGCATCAACTTCGGGGCTTCGTCCATTTGAGGACCTCAGCTACAACCAAAGGCTTCCACGCCTCGGGCCATGGGCCTCGGTTAGAAGCAGTTCGGATATAACCCACCTCGGCAATATGGGCCACCTCGGCAGGAATGCCACGTGGATCAGGATGAGTGGGCCACTGGCCCAGGTGGGTAGGACAGGTGTGACAACACGCAACAATAGTCCCCCAAGTCCAAGTATAATCATTAATGTAATGCGTGGACTTTAGAGTAAAATTTTTTTGAACCCCCAAATAATAGTCCACCAAGTTCAAGTATAGATATTTATATCATGATTGGAGTTAGAGAAGTTTTGGTGTAGGTTTATGCTGAAGAAGCCGAGGTGGTTGGGGGACCGAAACCTGCATGATTTGCATGCTGATTGCGTCTGAAGAAGCCGAGGTGGTTGGGAAACCGAACCTGCGAGGATTAAATGCTGAATGGCACGTGAAGAAGCCGAGGTGGTTGGGAAACCAAACCTGCGAGGCTTAAATGCTGAATGGCATATGAGGAGCCGAGGTGGTGTGAAACCGAGCCTGCGAGGCTTAAATGCTGAATGGCACGTGAAGAAGCCGAGGTGGTTGGGAAATCGAACCTGTGAGGCTTAAATGCTGAATGGCACGTGAAGAAGCCGAGGTCCAATGTAATGATTATGCTTTGGTCTCTGTGCCAATGATTTGATGTTTTGTGCTTGTTTTCGAGGAAAGGTAGCTGAACCGTTACGACTTCCAATGTGCTGGCGCCGACGAATTAAAGATGCAATTATGAGGGCAGCCGGCGTTTCCAGAAGCAGACGCGCTGGAGAGGTGCGTGTGAGGTACGCATAGATAGGAGGCGTAGGATTTCAAAGACTGTTTGAATTCAACGCCTCGGATTGGATCTGAAACGGAGGGCTCGGATTGACTGAGATTTGATCTGACGGGTGGGGTTCGCCTTGGATCTTTATAAAAGGCGAGAAAATTCTACTTTCCAGAAATTTTAAGCACTTTGCATTCTCAAACTCTCTCAAATCTTCCATTTTCCGGCGTTAAGGTTGTCTGCGATTAGATTCCGACCGGTCTCCGTTTGTGTTGAACTCTTTTAGGTATTGTTTGCATAAAAAACCGTTGTTATTCATTGTCCTCAAACAATGGAGTCCACTTCGGGTAGGGAACTTGTCACTGTAGCGTCTTTAGACCACGGGGTAGGTCATGGGGGGACGTCCGAGGTGGATAGGTATGCCATGGCCGAGGCGGACGTGGATTATACCCAGGAGTGGGGGGCTTCTAGAGTGCCCTCAAACATGACGGGGAAGAGGTTGGGGGAGCTTAGGGAGAGGTACAGTGTGCCTCATAACATAGAGATGTTAGTCC